TTTTACATCTACATAAATTAAACATGGCATTAAACGTTCCATGGTAACGTGAATCTACTTAATCCTTTGCTACGCAATGTGTCCGGTCTGGACACACCTAAAAATTTCGTTCTGTACGCACAGAAAAATTGAATGAAAAAAAGATTTATAGGTTACTATAGGTTACTCTGAACCTTCTTTATTTATAGAGTAGATGGCAGCTCAACACAAACCAGTCCATACATTTTAGACATGTTTAGTTTTTTAAGACCCTTATTCTTCAAAGAACTCTTACAGATTATATTTAGTGTATAAAAGGAATCGTTTGAAAAGAAATTTCTATGTTATTTTTTGGCTGTATGCTAATCTCCTTATTCTATATTAGTTTTAAATTTTTACCTTGAAATCTTGCCTAAAATCAAACGGCGAATCCTAGGTGTGCCCAGGACGGGCTCACCGATCATCTAGGATAACTGAGAGCCTGTATTCTTTGTTTCTCCGCTTCTAATCGGTCAGTTCATTGACAACAATGCTCGTTTCAGCACTCTTTTTCGAAGCTCTATTCAATCAGTGTGCCACTTTGGGCCCACCCACAGAATTAAAAAGATAAGTTCTATCTTCACAAATTTTACTTGTGTACTCCTCTAAGCCTAATTAGATTGCAAACCTTTTTTTTTTATTTTTTTTTTAATCAAAACTCCGACTTTAAAAGGTAGCGTGCCGGAAAGGGGTAACAATGCCGCCCAACCGGTACAGTGGTTTGCGTCGCTGACTACCGTGCCGAAAGGCCCGTGTTCGAATCCCGAAGAAGGCATTGGATGTGTGTAAATGTATAGTGTTGGTACGGCATGGTGGCGCTCGAAATATGTGGCGAGCTGAAAGTCCTCTCGTGTGGTTTGGTGGAAGGGGAGAGGAGGTTTGGTGCAAGGGTGAGATTGTAATTTGGCGGAAGGGGAGAGGGGTGAGACCCTTGGATCCGTCCTCCCCCCTCCGAGGTGCTCTCCATCAAAATTGGGGGCGGAACCTATCTAAATCCCAATGTCACCTGTAAGGTGCTCAAGTATCAATGTCACCTGTAAGGTACTGTTGCCAACGACAGGCGTATCTTAGGCTCCTTGCCACGAGGAATTAAGTGTGTTTGGGCTGATGTTACTATCAAATAAGCAAGCAAGTAACAACAACACAACTTAACAATAACTGCAAGCTCAAACGCACAGCTAGCTGGCATGACGATAGTCCGTGCTTACAATGAAGCTATTGATTAATTTTTGCGGTCTGCTAAATGGTAGATCGAGCCTCAAAAAGATTATGGTGTCGAATATCGTTTGTGCCTTGTAATACCTTTTCTTAATAAGCCTCCAAGCATGCACAGATATTTTTTAAAAAGAAGACCACTTCAATTAATTAGAATCACCTTATTTTTGTTCCTTTCGAAACGCAATTCTTTTACCGTATATAACTACTAATAGACTTATATTTTCAAAGCACATTTTATTAAAATTCATTTAAACTTACATCATTGTTAAGTCAATATAAAAACATTTATACTCGTTTTTAATATTTCGAGTCTGTTAGAGTCTGGATAATCTTTAGCTCGTTAACTGAAATAAATGTTAGTATTCGTATTAATGAGATGGATAAGCATTCTGATTCTTGCAAAATTGTTCTGTGTTTGGATGTATGGTGGTAAGCTTAAAACTCTGAGATGGAAACACACATCAAGTCGACTTCGTTCTCTTGTTTTTATTGCAGTTAATGAAAACCATTTTTCACACAAATTCTTGAATATAAACAGAGTTGTAGTTTTTAAACAACAATTGCACAGTTCATTCGATTCCGTTTTCTAATGAACTTGCACAGAATATTAAATTATACTCATAGCGTGACTTCCTTGCACGGAATATTAAATTATACGCGTTTTTTGCTGCATTTAATTTAAACTTATTTCCTCGAATTTTATTAGAGTTATAATTTTCATTCAGTTTATTCAGTTCTAAATTCGCGGCAAAGCAAAAATACAAAAAAATTCAAAATATCTTTACTACAAATTGAAACATACAAATACAGTTAAAAATCAGAGTTTCGACGTAGAAACAAGCAATTCAACTAGCGGGCAAGAAGGCAGATTTTTCGGTGCACAAAACTGAACGCTTGCTTTTGGTCTCACTCGGCAAAATGACACTGAAGGCATAAAAACTGAATTAATATGGGACAGTTTAATAACTTAAATGATAATTCCAGAATGGATTAATCATGATTTAATTCGTAATAGTGAAAGAAGACGTTATCTTTGTTGTTGCGAAGCTTAGTTTCTCTAGATTGGCAACAAATCCACTATTCTGCTACGTTTCAAATGTAAACAAATATGGCTGCTATGATATGATAAGAAAAATTAGGCTTAGCCACACAGAAACAACTTTTAATTTGTTGATAATTCAACAAATGCTGCTGACAAATTTACTAAAGGCATAAAAACCTTAACAGGAAGATAAGAACAATATAATTTAATCATTTTTAAAGCCAAAAAATGCACAATTTAACAACATATAAGAATAAAAAGACTGGGTTCACGGAGCCGGGTAACAGGGTGGTTATATATATGTGTATATATATAAGATAAAAAAAAATGTGAATCAAAATTATAATTTAAACTAACGGAAAAACTTTAATTCTCCCTCTCTGTTTTAAAAATCGCAATAACTTCTCTGGATTGAGTCATTCCTAGATCATTCTATGGCCTGCGAAAGTCTCTGATGAAGTAATAATTGGGAACTGAAACGTCCATCGTAAACCAAATTTTTTTCTCTTCGTGTGCTTCCATCTTGTATAACTACGCACTTCAGCTTCGGTCTCTGCTTTGCTTGGATGTAACTTCGCTTGCTGTTGCAATAATATCAAAAATGTAAATGTTCTTGAATAGGCACAACTCGAGTGCCAAGTGAACGGTGTGGCCAAATATATACATATTAATTATACGTCGTAGAAACCTTCCTTACTTGGCAGAATTGTTACTGGAGACGAAAAATGATATTTTTTGTACGACCCGCAAGCCAAGAGAGCATCGACAATGTGGAAATTACCACAATCTCCACGGAGGCAGAAATTCTGCCAAGATCGCTTTGAAGGAAAGGTTATGCTATAGAGGTATTCTTCGATAATCGGGGCATTGTGCATCAAGAATTTATCCCTGAAGGACGCAGTGTGAACAAAGAACTCTACGTCGAAATTTTGAGTCAATCCGGAAGAAGAGACCAAAAATGTGGGCTGAGCAGTGATGGGTGCTGTTGCATGACAAAGCTCCTTTTCACCCATACCTACCTGTCAATGACTTTCTTGCGAAAACGAAAACAATTGTTTTGCCTCATCCTCCTTCTCGCACCTTGCGATTTCTTGAACTGGCAATACGCTTGCAGTGCCGTCGATTTAAATCTTCAGATGAAGTTAAATGTGCATCACAGGCTGAATTAAAGGACATGTCAAAAAATGTATTCCAGACTTGATTAGATGAACTTTACAGGTGCTGGCAAAAGTGTGTTATTGCACAAGAGTCTTATTTGAAAGGAAGATGTGTTTCTGAAATTTAATTAATAATGTTTTTTACGTTATAGACTCAGTTCGAGAACTTTTGAATCCTACCTCGTATACTTTTGGTGCGGCCGACTGCCACCAAAAGGGGGGTGTACAACATGGTATAGCAGTCCTATATACAAAATTTCAACGTTCTAAGGCGATTCGTTTTTGAGGTATGCGAGATACATACGTACGTACAGACGCCACGAAAAAAATCTGTTCTGAATCCATTTTAAACCAGTTTGATAACTCGTTTGAGGGAAAAGAGTGCTTTATTCTATTCTTATGTACAAATGTCACTCAAAAACATCGTTAAATTGCATTTGATAGCGGTCAAAATGGATATTTTCGTTGAAATATGGTAAACGGAATTTTTCGTGATTAAAATACTTCCTTTACTTAGTATAAGGAAGTAAAAACGACCTGTCTCCTTAAAAATTGCATTGTCCACTTTGAGACATCAGTTAACATTTACCTATTGCTTAATGCATTTTGCAGCAGTTCGCATCTTTTACGATCTCTTCGAACTTAGCACACAAAGCACATCAAAATTAACTGGAATTGCGGTTTCTATTAAAGTAAAATTAAGCTGTGAATTTTCATCATGAACTTTAACATAGTCATCTGTATCTTTATGTTAATTCACAAGCGGAGACTAATTAAAGTTAGCTTAAATGTTAGTGAATTCTTGTCTGCATGAATTTAAAAAATATTATTTCCATCACGATAACTTTTGATTTGAAAACCAATGGCATCTAATATTAGAATCCAAAAGTGTTTAAAGTAGTCTGTAGAGGTTACAATAACCCAGACACTTTCAAATATTACACTAAAGGTGCCATGACTTTTCAATTAATGAATCTTAAATTAAATTAAAGTTTTAATTAATGACAGTTTTGAAGAAAAGCATGTTAAAAATCTACAGAAAATATCGGTAATTTTGTCCTATTTAGCATATAAATAAAATTTAATAAACTATTTCTAAAATAATTTAGCTGGAATTAAAATTAAAAGAATTTAAACTTTGAAATAGTAATTTAATTAATAAAAATATGAATTATTTTAATTATATTTTGAAATAAAAATTAATAAATTTAATTTCAGAAAAATCAGAAAATTTATTAGTAATATATTGTTGTAAATTATTTTATAATAACCGTAATTTTGAAAAAGTATATTCTCATAAAAAAAATTTTTTTTTAATCCCTTGGAAACTTTCTTCAGCTATTTCTGCTAAACGCAAGTTTTTACTTTTTCGAATTCTACCATTTTCTTGAACTAATCCATTCAGCTCTGAAATTTAATATAGTAACCATTCACGGCTACAGCTTTTAGAGTATATAAGGTGCTGATATAAAAGTGAAAGATATATATTAAAATGCAACATATTTAATCAATAACCATTATTCTGGTTCACGGTAAAATTCAGAAACATCAGGAATTTGACTTACGTATACACTGGGCTGGCATTCCTCCCCACTGCGAAATAGCCATGCAAGTTCGCTTCTTGGATCCCCCTTTCATCTTATACCCGCGATCACACGAGTAGTGACAGACAGTTTCGAAAATATTATCTTCAGACGTGCATGATATTGATCCATGATGAGGAGGACTGAGAGCAGGACACCGATTCACTGCAAAAAGAAAACAAATTCTTGTCATTTATTCTACTATTTATTGTTATATAAGATCAATAAACAACAATTAAATTTAAGGGAATAGAAAATATAGATAACATACAAGGTGACCCAAGATAAACAGAACCGGTCAATCGAAAAGCGCTAGTGTATTCGATGGCAGGTCAGTGCGATAGCGCACGTTCCTTTGGAAGCTGTGTACTCAGTTTTCACTCTTGACCAGGGCAAGTCTCGAACGATCACGGTCACCTATTGTCTGTCTACGAGAAGAACAGCTCATGCCGCGGTCGCTATAGCAACAGGGATAGAAAATTTCAAACAGGGGCGAATTACAGGTTGCTAATTGATCTCTAAATACGACAAGATGGCAAACTGAAACGTAAACCCTCAAGACACCCCTACGGAAATTGGGTCAAGTCTCGTTTCTACGGCAACAGACAGCTGCACACTAATTGGCGAGAGCTTTTCTTATGATAGACAGACTGTGATCTGTCCAGCTGTTATTTTTATTTGCAGGGAGAACCCGAAGACAAAGTTTACTAGAGCAATCCGCGAACTCATGGAGAACTGGAACAAGATATACGCAAAGCAATCACTAACATCTAGCGCGATGACTTAGAGCTAGTTATACTGAAAGTGATTCATCGGGTCAATATGTGACTGATACGATCGTGTATAATCGTGATATGATCGTGTCAATATGTGTGATGTGTAAAAATTGATAATTACATTATAAACTGTGGTGGCTAGAAGCAACATATTTCTAGTATTACAGATCATGCCTACAATCATGACTTGTTTACATTATTTTTTTACAAACAGCTGTCAAAATTAGAAAAGAATATAAAATAATAAAAAAGACATAAATAAATAAGTCTGAAAACAAAAGAAAAAAAATAACTTCATCTGCATACTTATGCGTACTACGTACTTTTAGATATATCTGCATCTTGACTGTTACTTGTCGACGTCATACAAATACAGTAAAGTCTTTTTAGGGCGATCATCAATGGCTGTAGGTGATTCTGATCTTCTTTAGAAATGGCCGTTTTAGAAAATGATATACATCCTTTGTCAGAAATGTTCCAGGACAATTTATTTTTATTTCTGAGTATGTAGTGGTAAAAAGGAACGAATGTTGTTTTTATGTTACCTGATATGTATTCTTACTTGACATGACCCTGGCCATGTTTCCACGGAAACTTACTAGGTGACAGGGCTGTGCTTAGCAACACACTGTTCGGATGGTTGTCGCATTCGTTAAGGTGACCCAATGGATGCTGATTATGAGGAAAGAGTGAACATTAATTTCCGCGTTAAGCTCGGGAAACCCCTAGTGAAACGTAGAACATGATTAACTAAGTATATGCAGGCGAAGCACTTTCAAGAGGTCGTGTTTTTCGAGTGGCATAAAAGGTTTCGTAAAGGCGAAGATTCAGTACAAGAAGATCCCAGAGCCGGTCGCACGTCTATAGCGCATAACGATGCAAACGTGGAGCGTGTAAAGCAGTTATTGCAAGAAGACCGTCGTGTAACTGCGCGTATGATATCAGAAGAACTGAATTTGAATCATGATGTGTGTCATAAGATTTTAGGCGAAGATTTAGGGAAACGGAAACTTAATGCAAGAATCATCCCTCACTCACTAACAGATGAACAGAAAGAGAAAAGGCGAACAATTTCTACTGCACTATTGGATAGAGCCAGACGTGGCCCTACATTTGTGTCAAAGATTATTGTGATTCTTTCTTGTTTCCGAGAGTGAAAAGGTGACTGAAAGGATAGCTTCATCAAGATTATTCCAGACATCCAACCCGCTGTGACAAACGAGCTCGCAAACATCGCAGTTGAAGATTTCTCCGCCTGCTTCCAAGACCTCCAGAAACGTTGGCATTTGTGCATAGATAGCCAAAGGGGACTACTTTGATAGCAGTCAGGATCGTTACCTGGTAAATGCAATTTTCTATTTTTTACGACCTTTGTCCTGGAACTTTTAAGACCAAGGATGTACATACGTAAGATATTTGTTTACGTTTCCAGACATTCAACGGGCTGTGACAAATGAGCTTGCAAGCATCGCAGTTGAAGATGCTTGCTTCCAAGACTTCCAGAAACGTTAGCAGTTGTGTATAGATAGCCAAGAGGACTATTTTGATAGCATAGCAGCTAGGATCATTACTTGGTAAATGCATCTTTCTATTTTTTACGACCTTTTTCCTGGAACTTTTCAGATCAAGGATGTACCATATGTACGATATTTGTTTATGTTTCCAAAAATACTGGTCATTTTCCTTGGTATCAGTCTTCTTTCTTGGTCTCCAAGACAGAGTTTACTGTGATTCGAAGAATCTGAATGCACTGACACTTTAGAATGGAGAAAGGGAACAACTGGCAAATATCCATTGAAATCGCAATTGACCGAGTTTAAACTGCTGCTTATAAGAATGCACGAAGGGCTATTCCAAAATAATCGGAATTATTTTTAAGCGATTATATTGTACTTACATATTTTACCATCCTTCAAAGTATTATGCGCCAACAGCAACAAACTTGTATTGCCTGCGTTATCCATTAATATTTTGTGAGCTTTCTTAGTCATGTTTGTCGAGTAGCGTCAGCGATTCTTGTGAAAGAAGAATCACCCTATTGTTCTTCCCATAGAATTCTTAGAAGTATAGTTTCTTCAGAAATCTAATCAACGATCTTTCATTGGTAATTTTCCTGTATGGCCTGTTATATTTTTCAATATTTTGCTCATTTCTGATGAATAAGCAAAACATTGGGGAAGAAATGGCAATCTTAATTTGAAATATCGCCGTTTTTTAATTTTCAAAATTATCAATCACGTTTTAAGTTTTCCGAAGTACAGCAATGATCTCACTTTTTATCAACAAAAAGCAAAATTTCACTCTCAATTTAGTCTTTGTGGTCACATATCATAAAGCTCGCAGGACGCTGCATGCAGCAGCATGAGAGACGAACCTCAGACTGATGGCAACTTACAAATAGCAAACACCAAAAACACAAAAATAGCACGTTCTAGCGGCCTGTTACGCAGTTATGAAACGATGGCAAGCAATGTTACCATTTCGTTTACTTTACAGTACCCCTACCTAAATAACCCTTCATTTACACAAATGATAATACAAAAGGTATAAAATATTACTTTCGCAAACGACTTCCTCTCCTGTCCAAGTACCATTCTCAGAGCATAATCGAATGCTGTCTCCGCGAAGCTTGTATCCGGACTTACAGCCGATACCACATGCTGCGTTGAACACTGAACTGCATTCTCCCTTGACGAAATACCCGTTCTCGGGCGGAGCAAGAGGAGGGCATTCCACAACTGTAGAAAAAAAATATTATATTTTGAATCAGAAGTAAAACAGCCAAACCTACAGAAACATTTATTCAAACAAAAATATGAACACTAATTTTGATTAGTTTTATCAGAATTTTTACTTTAATACGGAAAATTATATTTCAAATAAATAAATATAAAAAACATATACAGTCAAAACTCGTTAATCCGGACACCCATAATCCAGAATGATCTATAATCCGGACCTCAAAGCTACAAACTTTCTGCGCATGCGTCAACGCATAATGCGTTGACGCATGTGCGTAATACCTTTACGCATGCGCATATGCGAGTACGCATGCGCATAATACGTTTACGCATACGCGTTTAATGTATAACGGACTGTATAAGCTAAGCTAAAATTATCTACTTATCTATTTCAGTTAATGTTGTAGATTGCGTTGTTCCTTAATCTTCGAATTGGATCCGGCTTATTATTTTTTGCAGACTGTTAGAGCAATTTTATAAAAGTCAGCTGGAACTTTTGATTATGTCAAAAAGAATTTCCGATGCTGTATCTACAAAAGGAAAGCATGTTTCGATATCCATCAAACAAAAAGTGGAATTGCTGCAAAAAAATGGATAAAGGCTCCTTTGTGTCTCTAACCATTCCGAAATCTGTTTATCAATTCCACGCTGCTCTGCGGGGGGGGGGGGACGTAGTTTTGCGCAATGAACTGGAAGTTGATCTGTCAGCACTATCCTTACCTTCAGGGCAGTTGGATGTTTTTATTTTATTCGGCTTATAATTCCTTACTAAATGTAGTATTTCATCTGGATGTACTCCGTCTTTGATATGATTTAAATCAAATTCCTCGTCATTATAAATATCACGAATACAAATCAAATAGTTTTCTGGTCGCAATTTTCTAATTTCGACTATGATAATACATGTATGCTTTACGCATGCGCGCGTTGAAAGAAATGTTTAATAAAGTAAACAAATAAATATTAAGCTTTTTTTTGTACATTTTGATACCCTTTAGATCATAATTGCTCTTTATTTCATAAATTACGGTTTCATATTTTTAATTTTATGATTTCTGCAAGTCATTTTACCAGATTTAAACTGATGATCTATAATCCGGAAAAATCGGTAATCCGGAATCGCCGAAGTCCCGACGAGTCCGGATTAAAGACTTTTGACTGTAATATAAAAAATGTTCTTAAAGTCAATTCCTGCTTAGGTCAAAAAAGAAAAATTTTATTTTAGTTACTTTTAAACATTATTAAAAATTTTTAGATATTAAAATATATATTGCTATTAATTATTAATATTATTAATATTGATTAATATTATAATATATATATATTTATATTAAATATATTATATATATATATATATTTTAACATTTATTATAGAATATCTTTAATTCCGATAAACAGGAATCATTAAGTAGGAATTGACATTGACTTGAATGTGTGTAAAAACTGTATTAACAGCCAGTGTCATCGACTACAAGTTTAAAAAATTGTATTTGAACTTGAGTGGATGGATAAAATGTATTTTATTAACGATTGAAAATTTGAACAAGATATAGGAAGAGTATGAGCTAACAGTAGGAATTTAAAAAGTCTGAGAGGTTCCAGATTTTTAAATTACGTTCAAAGGAACGTTTATTTATTAAATACCATGTTCTACATACTCAAACCATAAAATTCAGTTGAACAGCAATATCGCAAAACAATTTTAAAATCAGCCTATATTTAGAAGTTCCGATACAGAGTCTTCGCGCGCTGGAGATAATTTTTCCCCCCGCACAGTGTTGCTATTGCCGGCTTTGAAATCTTTTAGCTTGTTAATCAAAAATTCGTCTTACAAAATATGAAATCGATAATGAAACAAACTTCAAATTCAAATTAGGGCTTCCACATGCCCATATTCTATGAAAGATTACGTTATTCAAATTTTGATGGCTCTAGGTACCGTCGTTTTATCACAATGCAAGAAACATACATGCATTTATGCAGATTCTTCATTATTCAATTTCTTTAAATATAATACAGGGCGATAATATTGGATGGCAACAATTTGAAAAGTGAAACGACGCTTATCATGAATCGACACAAAATGCCAAAATGAAATCAATAGTCCTTCTGGACAAATTACAAATTACCCCTTTGGACTAATTATACGTAAAAAATAAGTATACAGAATATATGAAGTATGCTATTTCTATAAAATGAACAATATATTCTGGGCCACCCAACCGATATAGTGGTTAGCGTCACTATATCGTCGAAAGGCCTGGGTTCGAATCCAGGAGAAATCATGTATGTTTGTAAATGTATAGTGTCGTTGCGGTATGGGGGCACTCCAAATATGCGGTGAGCCGAATGTCCTCTCGAGAGGTTTGTGGTAGGGAAGAGGGGTGGGAGACCTTCGGACACCCCCCCCTCTCCATCAAAATTGGGAGCGGAACTGAACTAAATCGCTCTGTCACTTGTAAGGCGTCACTCGTTGCTGTTGCCAACTCTGTCACTCGTTGGCTGTTGCCAACGACAGTCATAAACTTGCGCATACTCCCACGAGGATTTTCGTGGTCTTGGGCTGACCATAGGTCAGACAAGTGAGCATAACGACAATATTAATATATTCTTAAAGTTTTATGCTCTTAAAATAATTAAAATTTTCAGTCATATTTGCCATACATATTAATTATACCTCAAAAAGTAAATAATGCAAGGATTGTTACCTTGAAATAAGCAAATAAAAATCAGTACTTTCTTTTTGTCTTTCTAGTAAATGTATAAGTGCGTTCATAATTCTAGTAAAGTGCGTTCATAATTTCCTTCATGTACAACATGATACGAGCCAATTTCTAGTAGGAAAATCTTCTCGGAATACATCCATCCCTTGAACGAGATGACCCTCGCTGGCTTTTTTAAATTGATTAAATAAGCAAACGGAACCCCCTCTCAGTGCTTTCATAAAATTATTTATTCCAATAAAAAAGTGATCTTGAAAATCTTACAAAATAAAAACCATATAGGAACCTTCCAGTTTTATTGCATTAGGAACTGTTATTGATTAGAAATATTTTTAAACAGCACTTGGTCTTTTTTCATTTAATTATCTTTAAATGATTGTCATTGAAAGGTTCTAAATTGCCAGTATTAAGAGAAATTCATGTTCTTTTAATAAGACGTACGATTTAATAACCTTGATAAGAAAAATTTCTTTAAGCAACTCTTTTTTAAATAGTTTTGACGAAAAATAAAAGTTTTTTCCTCAGTTAATGAAAGCGATTCTCATTTGTTTATAGTTCTAGCAATCAGCATCAAGTTTTACAAAATCTTCTGAGCACTTAATATTTCACAAAAGAAGCTAATAAAAAAAACTGAAAGCTTTCAAGATTTTATATTACGCCCGAGGGGGATTTTTTTGAAGATTTTGTGTATTACCTTCATTTATTAAATATCACATTCTTCGCACTTAAACCATAAAATTCAGTTCAACGGCAATATCGCAAAATAATTTAAAAAGAGCATATCTTTAGAATTTCCGACAGACAGTCTCGCGTGCTGGAGGTAATTTTTTTTTGGGGGGGGGTACAGTGTTACTATTCCTCGCTTTGAGATCGTAGAGTTTGTTAATCAATAACTCTTTAAAGTTTTACAAAATATGAAATAGATAATATAACAAATCCCAAATTCGGGCTTCCAAATGCCCATATTTGGGTGGCGACGTTACGTTATTGAATATTGGATGTCTCTAGGTACCGTTGTTTTATCACAATGAGAGAAACATACACACATTTATGCAGCGTTTCATTATTGTTTCTTTAAATATAACACAAAGCTCTTATATTGGGTAGCAACAATTTGAAAAGTGATTCGCCGTTTATAGTGAATCGACGCAAAATGCCAAAACGAAATTAATAGCCCTTCCGGGCAAACACCCTTTGAACTAATAATAGTTTTAACATTTCAGCATTTTATAACTCTAGAAAGTATTATATTTCAATTTATTAAAATTGATTCAAAACTAAAATCCATACATTTACTTACAAATAGAAAGTTTTCCTACCTACGCATTTCTTTCCAACTTTCTGGAAACCTGTTTCGCAAATACATTGATCCACACTTGTGCTGCCTGGTAATGATACCTGGTTGGCATCCGGACATGGAATGCACGACGATATGTCACCAGGACTAATTGTAGAGCGGTAAGTGCCAGAAGGACAGGCTGAAAAGAAAACAATTTTATAACATCAGAATATCAAAGTTAAACGAGTTGTTCTTTGCATTAACGTTAAAAATACATACGAGAGCGGAATAATTCGTAATACAGACGCCACGAAAACATCTCTTTCGAATTCATTTCAAATCAATTTTGATAATTCCATCCGGGAGAAAAGAGGCCTTTATTCTGTCCTTAAATACAGATGTCACGAAAAAGTGTCAAAATGTATATTTTCGTTGAAATATGATAGCGGAATTTTTTGTGCTTTCAATACTTCATTTACTTCTTACAAGGAGATAATAAGCAATAGACTACTACTTAAGAAATAACCTACCAGAAACTAAAGATTTAAAAATTGGGTAGTTATAACGTGAAAACGAAATGATAGAAAAAAAAACTGCTATGTTATTTTTATCGAAATGTTAGACTATGGTGGAAACTTGTGCAGTCTCTACATATAATAAAAGAAAGAGTTTGTCTGTGTGTGTGTCTTTCATTCGCGTTTGCGCGTAAGCTAATAGACCCACGGCTACGAAATTGGTACATAGGTGCATCTAGACAAGAGCCAGTGCACCTCGAAGCGATTTTTTCGAAATTCGAATTGGAATTTTTTTTATCTTATGTTTTGTGACGAAATCGCGTCATTTTGAGACATAATGGGCTATAGGAAAGCGAGATTTTACTCTACACACTCCATTTTCACATCGTCATGAAACGTAGGCTCTTAGCTATTTTATGAACTTAAAATAAAATAAATTTCGTGTTTCAATAAATCAATTAAACACGAATTTATTTAACAAAGTGAGCTTAACGCCTTTTCAACGGGATTTTTTTCTAAGAAAGTTTATTTTTAAAAATGTAAAGTTTATTTTTCTTTGATTTTTGGACACTTTAAACTTTCATCCTTGCGATTGCTTTCACAAAAAGAATTTTGGAAAATGATAATATTTTGTACTTTAAAAAAATTTAAATGAAGCTTCCGAGTCCACTTCTCACATCTCACATCTTTAAAAATGTGATTTTGGCAAAAATTTTCCTGTTTTTATTGTTGTTGATAGATTTTTGATGAAATGGCACCATTTTGAATAGTTTCATTCTTTTAGAAATATGGGTTTGGCAACAATTTTTCATCGTATTTTTTACTTCACTGTTTTTAACAGATTGGCATATTTCACTGTCATTTTTACTTCCTTGTACGAAATAAAAAGGATGAATAAAAAGGAAAAGAATAAAAGACTCGTTTCCACCAAAAAATTACAAAACTGCTTTAAAAAAAATTCTGAAGAGAATTTTTCGTGGCGTCTGTACGAACGTATGTACGTACGTATCTCACATAACTCAAAACCGAGTAGCCTCAGAACGTTGAAATTTTGTATGTAGGACTGCTATAACATGTACATGTGCACCTCGTATTTTGGTTGCAATCGGCCGCACCAAACGTACATAAATATATTTATATATATATATCCACTCTGTTACCCGGCTCAGTGATCTCGGTTTCTTTACTCTTATATGTTTGTAAATTGTACATTTTTTGCTTTAAAAATGATTAAATTATGTTGTTCTTATCTTCCGGTTAAGCTTTTTATGCCTTTTGTAAATCTGTATGCAATATTTTTAGAATTATCAACAATTTTAAAGTTGTTTAAGTGCCGCTAAGCCTTTTTTTATGGCGGCCATTGATTGTTTACATTTGAAACAGCAGACTAGTGGATTTGTTGCCAATCTAGAGAAACCTAGCTTCGCAACAACAAATATAACGCCTTCATTTATTATTGCCAATTAAATCATGCTTAACCCTTTCTGGATTTTTTTCGAGGAAATAAGTGTTTAAGATTTACTTCGTAATTTTTAATATAGATATTTTGAGGTTTTTTTTTTTTTTTTTTGTATTTTTGCCTTCTCGCGAAGTGAGAACTGAATTAATTGAATGATTGAATGAGAAATACACAATCGTCTGCGAAAAACTGTTTCTTTTTTGTTTTATTTGCTTAATTTCTTTTATACATCGTTCTAGCTTTATTATAGTATTTGAATAGAACATGTGGAAACCATTAGATAATTCTATTCTTTAAATGATATAAATTTTGTGCATTATGAGTTATAATATGAACGAAATATAATACTGTTAAGTGAATCTAGCGCCAGAGTGTCGCTATGGTAAACAAATACTAGAGCGAATTTTAAAGAATGCATTTATTCTATTGTGTTTTATGCGCTGTCGGCGAAGCAGATTTAATTCAATCCAATAAGTTTAAATGAAATGCAAGAAAAAATGCGTATAATTTAATATTCCGTGTACACATCAGATTTTTTTATATACATAATACATTTTTATTGATTTTTTTTTTTTTTTTTTTTTTTTTTTTTTTGATAAAGTTGTTCTGCAGAGTAAACTTCTGTGCGGAATTTTTTGTTTTGAGTTTCTTTCATGTTATGTTTTGCTTATTTCACTATTTGTAAGATATGGAAAAATTTTGCATGATTTTTTATTTCAACGGAATGTTGGTTAATTTTATTATTATGATAATTAATATTGCATTAAGGGATATAGCTTATTTCATTGTAAAATTTTTCTCTTGAAAATGTAAGATAAAATATCATTAAGTATGCTTTGCTTTTCAGAATTTTTTGTTTTTTATATTCTTGTATGCTATTTATTGCTCATTTCACTGTTTTTAAGATATTGAATAGTTTTGAGTGATTTTTTTTAGGAAACAAAGTTCTTAACCTCCTTTACACCATTTGAGTTCTCAAGATTTTGCAAAGGGAAGTTGATTAATTTATTTATTAGGATAATTAATATTTGTATTAAGGCATATTGCTTATTTCATTGTAATTTTGTTATACGTAATAACTTTTTTTATGAAGTTGTTCTGCAGAGTAAAATTCTACGCAGTTTTTAAATTTAACGTTTGGTGTTCCCTTCAGCCATTTTTCCGGTACATTTAAAAGGCAGACGAAGGCTGGCAGCAAAGCCGCTAGTTATTTAATAATGAAAAGACTATATATATTCGAGAGGCTGTAGTGCATTTATTTTACTAGATGGCTTGTAACAAATATTTTCCTGAAGGGATAGCATGTTTTTATTGTACTAGATGAAATCAATCTACTGAAAACAATGAGCATCTCTTTAAATACGTTAACAGTTTCTGAAATCACAGGAAAACTCTGAATTTCGAAACAACACTATAAATTTATAAAATCAGAATCAGCTTCAAAAATTGTGGTTAAGCATATCCAATGAACAATCAGTAACAAGTCTGAAGACACAATAGCAAATGCCTGAAAATTTCTAAAGAAATATTGTGCCTAATTTTAGATCCAAAATTTCACTGTAGACAAGTTAATTGATTAGTTATTCATGGTTATAAAGAGTACACGAAATCAGAAGAATTTTACTGTTAATTTATTATTATTATTAGTATTATTATTATTTGTGTGTGTGAGTGTGTGCGTATGTGAAAATTAGAAAGGAAAATAAAATTAAAGAAAACAAAAATCTGTAACGTTTTCAGATTTTAAATTACGTCCCAAAGGGCCGATTTTTTTAACATTTTGTGTGTTTCTTTTATTTATTAAATATCATATTCTTCGCACTCGAACCATAAAATACAATTTTAAAGCCACATCACAAGATCATTTTAAAATGAGCGTATCTTTAGAATTTCCGATACACAGTCTTGCGCGCTAGAGATAATTTTTTTTTTTTTTTTTTTTTTTTTTTTTTTTTTTTTTTTTTTTTTTTTTTAAGTCCAAAGGGGCTTTGTTCCTGAAGGACTACTATTTTCGTTTCGCGATATTGAGTTGGTTCACTATAAATGTTCGTTTCACTTTTCAAATTGTTGCCACAAAATATTATCGCCACCAAATGTTAGAGTCCTGCATTATATTTGAAAGAATCAAATAATGAAAAATCTGCATAAATGTATGTCTATTTCTCGCATTGTGATAAAAGAACGGTATCTAGAGCCATCCAATTTTGAATGACGTAATCCTACTGCGAATATGGGCATCTGAAATCCCAAATTTGAAATTTGGAATTTGTTTTATGATCGATTTTATATTTTGTAAAACTTAAAGGAATTTTTGAGTAAAAAACTCAAAGATTTCAAAGCTAGTGACGGCAACGTTGTAAAAAAAAAAAAAAAAAAAAAAAAAAAACTTATCTCCAGCGCCTGAGACTGCGTATCAGAAATTCTAACGGTAGCCTCAATTTAAAACTATTTTGCGATATTGCTTTTGAACTGAATTTTATGGTTTAAGTGCAAAGAACGTGATATTTAATAAATAAAGGTACCAGACAAAATGTTAAAAAAACGCCCCTTTGTACGTAATTTAAAATCTGAATTCTTTCAGATTTTTATTTATTTATTTTTCCCCGTACAGTATTGCCATTCCTCGCTTCGAAATCGTCAAATTTGTTAACCGAAAATTCATTGAAATGTTACAAAATATGAAACTGATAATAAAGCAAATTTCAAATTCAAATTAGGACTTCCGCATGCCCGTATTCTATGGAAGATTACTATATTCCAATTTTGATGGTTCTAGGTACCGTCGTTTTATCACAATGCGAGAAACGTACATACATTCATGCAAATTCTTCATTACTTAGTTTCTTTAAGTCGATAATATTGGGTGGCAACAATTTGAAAAGTGAAACAACGCTTATCGTGAACCGACGCAAAATGCCAAAACGAAATTAATAGTCTTCGGAGCAAATTGCCCCTTTGGACTAATAATCAATTTTATTTCCTATATTTTATTTAGAGATGCATGAGAAATCATCACATCTAATTCAGAAGAAATGTGAATAAAATTATACGTACCGTGGCAGTCACCCTTGAGACCGGTGCCATAATATCCTTCTCTGCAGAGGCAAGCGTAGTGGCCACTGGTTGTACCGCACGTACACTGCGCTTTCTCATCGCAGCAGTCCGTTTTGGCCGGACAGAGTCGGTCACAGGATTCTGGTTCTTGATCTAAGTAGCTTCCAATTTGCAGATCTGTAATAGCGTTCAAAATTTCAATTCTATACAATTAAACCATAGAAACCAAAATGTAAAGCATAAAATAAATTTTTGAGACATAGAAAAAATTACTTCTTGGTGAATAACAAAATGTTTAATAAATTATATAGATTAATACCCCCACCTAAAGTGTTAAAAGTCATGTGATGCAAAAAATCACTGAGAAAAGAGAGACATGCTAAAAGACATTGTTGAAATTAAAAATTTAGTATAAATATACCAGTATCAGTCAATTTAAACTATAAGGTATTTCTCCCATCTTCTTGGCATGCCTTCGTGGTGTGACGGTCTGCACGCTGGGGGCGTATTCCAGAGGTCCGTGGTTCGATTCCCGGAGAAGTCGTTGCATATTTTCTGCTTTCCTGCTTCCAAAATAATTAATGTCTCTACAGAATGTTTTAAAAATTTTGCTATTATCAATATATTGTGGAGACATTAGCTTATTTTGAAGCAGGAGACATGAAAAATCAGCAATGCGCTCGCCGGGACTCGAACCTGGACCTCTCGAATACGCGTCGAGTGTGCTAACCGTTACACCACGAAGCCACCTTTTCAAAGGTGGTCATTTTTGGAAGATGTTCGTCACGAGAGATTTAACTGCATTTGTTCAGTGAACTAACTAAAAACTAGATCGCTCTTAGGATTCTAAAGCGTACGGATATGTAAAAGATGCATTCATTTCCTTCCAAGTATACTTTTTAAGGAAGGCTTTAGTGAAAAGAATTCATCTTCAGTTATATTAAGAGCACAGATAAAGAGATATGAAGATCGAATCAATCATTTTTTATGACTCTGCTGTTATGTAAATGCTATAAAGTTATAGCATGGCCACGCATATGCTTTACCAAATTAAACAAGTCATCCCCAAAGCGCTTTCAATGTAAGACTTTCGGTGTAAGTTTTTTTCTACGGTAAAGTGAATCTAACGTAGTGACACTCAGGCAGAAAACATTTCAAAAGAAGTCATATTTAATTTGCATTCTCAAAGTAAATTATGATAATATTTTGTCTTAGTTTGCGGCAACCGTAAAGACAGAACCATCTCAATACTACGAATATAAAAGAAATTAATTTTATAAAGTTACAAATATACACTGTCCTCCAAAAGTTAAGGAGCAACATGTTTTTCAAAGCTCACCATTGCAAAAATATCAGTATGTCACTAACGTTTAAATTCACAGTTCATATGAATGACAGTAACGATGTTTAAGGAAATCTATGCAAAAACAATAGCTATCGCTTTTATTTTATAGAAACGAATATTTATATAGGAGTTGGAGAACAAATGAAAAACTTTAAATTTTGTTCGCGAGTGTTGATCTTCAGTTGTTATTAGAGTTTCGTGGACAATATCCATGAGACTCTACGATGTCCCGGAGAAGGCGTTTGCCCGATTCCTTGAGGTGGCGGTCGATCGGATGGATGAAAACGGTATGAATCGGATGGGATGTCCAGATCAATCTGCAAACCAAGATCCAATACAGCATTTTTTGGAACTATCTTGGCAAGACAGCTTGTTGCTTAAGGGGACTCGTACTCCTTAAAACCCATAAGATCTTCGAATATGTGACTGTTGCAAGAATCGGTACAACTTATTTATTTTAAAAGCAACGACTTCCAACTTTTTACAGCTGACTACATAATATAGCTGATTTCTGAATGTGATCAGAAATTTGTGTTGCCACAAATATTTATAATTTTTCCGATTTGAAAAGGTTTAGTCATGTTTTCACCTTGCCGCACAGTTTAAACTTCTGTTGCTATTTAATTCCATATTTAATATATGCTTTTATAACTTTGAAAACTGTGAACCAAAAGTCTAAGAATTTCTTGTTAAATTTTTTTTTAGTGGTCGATTTATAAATGGTATTTTAATTAAAAAAAATCTGTAATGTTTCGTCTATAAAATTTTTATATTAAAATATTCATCGATTGTTGGTTGTTAAAAATAGGGCTCATGTAATAATGCCATCCAATTCCAAGTATGAACCATAGCCATTTTTAAATATCGTGCGCGCAAGCGAAACTACAAACTTTGCACAGCGGATTAAATTACAAAACATTTGTGAAACACAAACTTTCTTGTTACTAGTTCCAAGCACGATAGATATTAGTCATCTGTAAAAGTTGGAGTAATTGATTTTAAATAATAAAATCTCCCCATTCTTGCAACAGTCACATATTCGAAGGTTGTTAGGGGTTAAGGTGCTGAGTTAAGGTGATGCATGTAAATTTCTTGTTTCTATGGTTGTTCATTCTCAACGACCAAAAAACATGCTGTTTCTTACTTTTGGTTAACTTTTGGAAGGAGTATATATTGGGATCAAATTCATTCCGATGAAGAAAAGAATAGAAGGCCGCCATGGCGAAATTCTACATAGGCTGAATTAGTTTCATAAAAGTTCAATCTAGTTACAGAATCTGTCAGATTCTTTACAATCAAAATATTATACTACCTCGGTTGATTTTTCAAGTTTGAAGCAAGCATGCATTCTTTTATATACACGTCTTGCCCAACATAAATAACGGTAATAAGGTAAAAAAATTTCGATTTTAAGTTCCTGACATATGACAATGAACATAACAGAACCCACAAGCATCATTATTTTACACACTGTATAGAATGATAATGGAATTATTTATAACACACAAGACATGCTGTCCCAGAAGATCCTGATAGTTAACTCCTCCTCCAAGGTCGTTAGATAGTCCATACACGGAGTAATGCTTGAACAAGGATTACTCCGTGTCTGGTCGTTGCTTTCCACTTCACTGATAGCTCTAGCTGCAATACATTGGCGGCAGCATGGAACACCGCTGCAGCCAATGTATTGCAGCTAGAGGTGGACGCATTCCTGATTAAAACCCATTTTTATAATGTTACCCCTTCATTTTTCCTCAAAAAACTGTGATAGACTGTTTCTCCAAGACTGGATTTCTGTGCCAAGAGTGCAATGTTTTGCTGTAATTCATGTTTGTGTTGAATTTGTAGAGACATCAGGTTAAGAGGAAGCAGGAGAGATGAAAAATGAGCAACTCCTTCGCCAGTAATCGAACTTCTGGAATACGCGCCCAACGTGCAGTTCACTACACCACGAAGGTATGCCAAGAAGGCGGGAGAAATACTTTACACACTCCCCCTTTTAAAGGGCGATTGGAGTTTTTAGGGGACCCAATGGCTAAATCCTGGGTTTTGAAAATCATCATCCACCACCCGTTTTAGTTCGGGCACCACAGTACAGACACTAGATATTTTTTGGAAGCAGGAGTGGTTAAAAACGAGCAACACCTTCGCCGGGAATCGAACCACGGACCTCTGGAATACGCACTAGCGTGCAGATTACTACACCACGAAACCACGCTAAGAAAGCGGGAAAAATACCTTATATACTCCCCCTTTTAAAGGGCGACTGCGGTTTTTACGAGACCCAGTCGCCAAATCCTGGGTGTGGAGAATCATCAACCACCACCTTTTAGCTCGGGTGACACTGTAGAGACGTTAGGTATTTTTGGAAGTAAGAGAGATTGAAAAATGAGCAACGCTTAGCTGGAAATCAAACCACGAACATCTAAAATACACGCCCAGCGTGGAGACCACCCCACCACGAAGGCATGCCAAGAAGGCGGGAGATTTACCTTATAAACTTTTGGTAAATTTTATATTAATAACCTTTGGTCAATTTTATATTAATTCATTAAACGACTGTTTAGTGAACATCAGTAAATCCATTGTAAATTTCTTGTTTCTATGTTGCTTCATTCTCAAATCAGACACAAAAAACATGCTGTTTCTTAACTTTTGGGTTAACTTTTGGGAAGCAGCGTATAATATGTGGGATTCAAAGTCATTGCCGATGAAGAAAAATAATAGAAGGCCGCCATGGCGAAATTCAACATTAGGCTGAAGTTGGTTTCATAAAAAGTTCAATCTAGTTGACAGAAATCTGATACAGATTCTTTACGAATCAAAAATATTATACTTACCTCAGGTTGAATTTTTCCAAGTTTGAAAGCAAAGCATGCATTCTTTTATACGCTTGCCTCAACATAAATAACGGTAATAAGGTATAAAAAATTCGATTTTAAGTATCCTGACATATGACAATGAACATAACAGAACCCACAAGCATCATTATTTTACACACTGTATAGAATGATAATGGAATTATTTATAACACACAAGACATGCTGTCCCAGAAGATCCTGATAGTTTCAGCAAAAATTTACCATACCTTCATGCAAGGCTCTTCTCGCCAACGCCTCGAATTCCTCAAAACTGCTCAAGATATAGCTATGTTCTTCAGGAGGATCTGAAGCCATCTCGTAAAGTTCTTTGACATTTCCACCTACAATGCCAAAAGTGAAGATTTCAACACCTTGCTCACGGAGGGCTTTTGCTGCCTCTCTGGGATCTCCGCCGTTGGAATAGCCGTCAGTAAGCAAGAAAGCAGCTTTAGTAGCATTCGGACGGGCGTCCTGGAAAACTTTCTGAAATTGACAAAAGAAGAAAAAAAAAAAAATAATAATAATCCCGGAATTAACAGCCATTCACCTTTTAATTTTGTAACAGTTATTTTAATTTTACTGTGCTTTCCTGTTGTTCCTCGTTACCACTTACGCTGCGTTCAGACGGCGGCATAAAAGGCATAGATTCATAGTCATAAGGTCATAAAATACGGGAGTTCCGTTCACACCTGCGAGACGGGATCTAAGCTGTTGCCAATGAGAGAAGTTAAATTTGCGCATGCGTGTATGTGTGTCTACACCTTTCGCGCGCTGTTTTTCTGTCTCAATTGATTTCTCGCGTTCGCTCTGCTTGTTTTCGTTATTTTGTGTCATGGCTTTTTCAGCTCACCACAAAGTTTTATTCGCTAAACAGAATTCTCTTTTATCTGCCCTTCTTATTAGCCAAGAGGCAACGGAAGAAGGTAAAAAGAGAAAAAGAACGAAATGGTCTAGAAATATTTTTTTGGAAAGACCAATACTTGGTTGGCCCATATTTCTGTGCAAAGCAGTATGGAATATTTCTGCATTGCACTGTAGTACTCTCTACTCTATAAAGATGCACATGCATATTTATATATATATATATATATCCTTCTTCAATTTTTTATACGTAATTTCTCTTAGGTGTGTGTATGTGATTATGGCAAAGCCTCGAGGGCTGTTTATCTGCCTAAAGGAAGGGATGCCTTCGTGGAGGACTTTCTAAGGGAAACTGGCTTGTATACAAGTTACACATGGAGAAAAACATGAAAACGCCCAAGCAGCCAGTCCGTTCGCGGGGTTCAAACCTCGGACCGAACTACCAGTGTTCAGCGACTTTACCGCTCGGCCGCTGGTTGGCCTAATTTCTCTTAGGTAAAATACTATATACTAAATATGCCTAATTTAAAAATATCGAGGATAAGTGGCAGATAGCCTATATATAATAATTTTCCATTTTGCAGATGTGAAAGCAGTTTAGCAGAAAACAGTACTTACCAAACATTATTTTTTTTTAAATTTTCAATCAGAAGGAACATGTTTCTGTGCTTAGCACTCCTTAGTCACTATTACTGTCGATCACCACAGTAGCTGACTGCACTACCAGTATCATTTATCACTAGTACTATTATCCCACAACTGGTCACCATAACCAGCAACCACAACCATGACCAGTATTATTATGAAACGTTCATCCAACAATGTATTTCACATTGACAAATTTTAGGCACCCAAGTCTTCAAATGCAACAAAGTTATAAACATTCATACCTTACCCAGGAATTTCTACCAGAGAAATAGCATGAATTTAATGATCAAAATTCCATTCAAATGATACTAATAAAGAGTGGATAATAATAACAAATACTATTCATTAAATTATAATCCGTGTTATGAATTATGTGTGCTATTCAGTTTCATTAAATGTAAATTCCTTTCATGGAGAACGTAATTAAAAAACAGAACAGAACATCATTAGGAGACAAAGCTGTCTAGACTATTGTTTTAAGGATATTTCACTACATTTTTTCCTTCTTGGACTTCATAAAAATTCATTTTCTCAAAAGATTAATTTTTACTTCCTGGTACGAAGTAAAAAGGAAGTATTGTAATCGCGAAAAGTTTCAGGCAGCATATATCAACGAAACTATCCCTTTTGACTGCTATCGAATGCAATTTAGCGATATTTTTGCGTGACATCCGTACGCAAGGACAGAATAAATGACTCTTTCCCCCTAAATAAATTATAAAACTGCTTTAAAAAGAATTCTGAAGAGAATCTTTCGTGGCGTCTGAACGTACTTATCTCGCATAACTCAAAAACGAGTAGCCTCAGAACGTTGAAATTTTGTATATAGGACTCCTATAACATGTGGATGTGCACCTCGTATTTTGGTTGCAATCGGCCGCACCAAACGTATATAAATATATTTATATATACATCCACTCTGTTACCCAGCTCAGCGATCTCGGTTTCTTTACTCTTATATGTTTGTAAATTGTACATTTCTTGTTTTAAAAATGATTGAATTATGTTGTTCTTATTTTCCGGTTAAGGTTTTTATGTTTTAGTAAATCTGTATGCAATATTTTTAGAATTATCAACAATTTTAAAGTTGTTTAAGTGCCTCTAAGCCTAATAAATTTTTTTGATGGCGTCCATTGCTTGTTTACATTTGAAACAGCAGGACAGTGTGTTTGTTGCCAATCTAGAGAAAGTAAGCTTCGCAATAACAAAGATAACGCCTTTTTTATTATTGCGAATTAAATCATGCTTAATCCATTCTGGAATGTATTCGAGGGAATAAGTGTTTAAGATTTACTTCATAATTTTCAATACAGTCATCTTGAGTTTTAATGTATTTTTGCTTTGTCGCGAAGTGAGAACTGAAATAATTGAATGAAAAATACTGAATCGCCTGCGAAAAACTGTTTCTTCTTTGTTTTGTTTGCTTAATCTCTTTTATACATCGTTCTAGATTTATTATAGTATTTTAATAGAACATGTGACAACTATTAGATAATTCTTCAAATGATATAAATTTTGTGCATTCTGAGTTATAATATGAACGAAATATAATACTGTTAAGTGAACCTAGCGCCAGAGTGTCGCTATGGTAAACAAATACAGTGAATTTTAAGAGTGCATTTATTCTATTGTGGTTTATGCGCTATCCACGAAGTAGATTTAATTCAATCCAATAAGTTTAAATGAAATGAAAAAAAAAAAGAAAAAGAAAAAAAATGCGTATAATTTAATATTCCGTACAAGGAAGTCATGTGTTTAATTTCTTTAAATATAAGCAGGGCAATAATATATGGTGGCAACGATTTGAAAAGTGATACAGCCTTTTAAATTTTTTGGAGCAAAATGACAAAACGAAATTAACAGCCCTTCAGTGCAAATTGCCCCTTTGGACTAAGAAGGAGAAGGAAAATACGAGAGAAAATATAATGAATAATTCAATTATCCAGAATAAATGTTTTAATTGAAATAACCACTTTTCTTAAATAAAAATATTAAAAAATCAATCTGTTTTGTAAACTCATTTTTCCTCTTCAGATTAGACAATCGAGGCTGTATTCAATTTAGTATAATGCCAAATAGACACTTAACTTCACAAATGATAGATTAAATAATTATTTTTATGATTTTTACGAGCCTGCCAACACCCGAGTGCGAGACATTATTATCTAATATATTACTCGTCATCTACACAGCAATGAACTTTAAAACTCCCATCACAACAGAGTCTTTTTTCTCAACTGTTATCGAGTAAAATGAAATATGGTGAAAAGAAGAGAAAAATATCAGTTAAACTGTTGAACTCTGCAACTTTAACTGAAAGAAAGAATGATGCCCGAGCTCACTTTGAAAAAAAAAGTAAAAGTGGCAGAAGCGATGATAAAAGCAGTAATAGAGTGCGAGATTAAGCTGAAGTTTTTTTTTTTTAACCTCCTCCCTCGATTATAAAATTACTCAATGTAGCGGAAAAATAGGAAATCGGCTCTAAAATTGAAGGGACGATTCATATATTATGAAAGCAAACGAAATTTGATGCAATTTCTAACTGATATCGACTTCTTTTTTAAAAAAACATATCCTTATTTTCTTTCGTTCAGGTAAGTTTAAATTATACAGAATTCCCTCTAAGAGGACCACCTACTGCCTCAGAGAATTTTGCAAGTGAAATTTTTTATGAAGGTGGTAGCTTTAGAGAGTTTATTTCAGTACCGATTTCTCAGAAATGTTCGTCTCTTTCATAGATGGTAGCCACTCGGTGCAGTTTTCTTTTTAAGTAAAGTTACAGTTACAGTTACAGTGAATTCTCTCGTGGTGCTCGCAAATAACCCATATTTGGGAAAATATACATAAGCATCGGTACTGAGCGTCAACTCTCTGAAATGACCACTTCCACAAAACACTAAAATTGTCTGAAACAGTAGTCTTTATCCTTTCAACATGTCTTCGTGGTGTAACGGTTAGTACACTCGGCGCGTATTCGAGAGGTCCAGATTCGAGTCCCGGTGACGGCATTGCATATTTTTCACGTCTCCCGCTTCAAAAACAACCTAATGATTCTACATACTTTTAATTCTATGCTTACTGCAATTCAATTAAACGTTCACTACTGTTTTACTTTTCAGCTTAGTTCCAAATACTTTCTTTTCTAAAAAATATAATACATCATTCTGAAACCCAATTAACCGAGGAGCATTTTAAAAATATATATGAGATGGTGTTGTCCCAAGATATATACATATTAACATAAGGCTTTATATAATGTTATAAAACGAGTGATCAAATTATAAAACTCGTTGAAATTAAAATGGCATACAAGAGCTGCTCAAAAGATTCAACCTTCCATTATTTAAAAAATCTGATGCGGACACCACATGACTTCCTTGTGCGAAATATTAAATTATACGCATAGTTTGCTGCATTTCATTTAAACTTAGTTCCTCGAATTTCATAAGAGATATATTTTTTTTCATTCAATTAATTCCTTTCTCATTTCGCGGCAAGGGAAAAACCACAAAAACCTCGAAATATCTTTATAAAACACTAAATACAGTTAAAAAAAAAAATTTTTAATTTTACAATTATAACTGGAGTTTCGGCGCAAAAAAAGCAATTCATCCAGCAAGCAACAAGACAGATTTTTCGGTGCATAAAACTGAAATTTTACTTTTGGTCTCACTCGTCGAAAAAACATTGAAGGTGCAAAAACAGACTTAATTCACTATTCTGCTGAGTTTCAAATGTAAACAAATATTGGTGCTATGGTAAACAAAGATTAGCCGTAGCCGCACTTAAACAACTTTAAAATTGTTAGTAATACTACAACTATTGCATGCAGATTAATTAAAGGCATAACAATCTTAACTGAATGATAATAACATAATTCCACCACTTTTAAAGCAAAAAATCTGATGTGTACACCAAATGACTTCTTTGGAC